CCCCAAAACCCCAAAACCCCAAAACCCCAAAACCCCAAAAGGACAGTTTAACATTGAAATACTAAATAATAATTATCTACAAAATGGAAGTTTACAATAGCACTGGAAACGTCAAGAAGTTCTTCAGGAACTCACAGGTGACCTTTAAGAAAGGCCCTCCTTCTAGGAACAGATACTCAGTGATAGATGGACTCAGAACACAAACTTTTAACTCGAAGAAGTTAAAGAAAATTACGACAATTAAGCCTAAGAAGCTGTTTAAAATCACAAATGAAAGTTTTGTCAACCAAAAGAATTCGTATCGAGAGAATATTCCTAAGAGGCGGAATCTCTCAATTGAACCAAAGAAGAAGAAAACAGGTAGGATTTTGGATACTTTTGGTTTTGAGGCTTTTTAAAGAGGGTTTTTTGGATTGTATATTTCCTCCATATTGTCCCATACCTAACCTTGTAAATTAGTACTATTCAAAGCACCAAATCATGAAGTTGGCAAATAATGTACGCTTTTGTGAAACTAAGAAGAGTGTATCAAGAAAGGAAGATAACCCCTTAAGTACTCTTCAAAATCATCAAAAGAAGGAAGGATCTGGATTTTCCAATAATAATTTCCTAGCTAGTTACCTCCAAAGAAGTGAGAAGAAACTTCAAGAGTGTGAGATAGACTACATCAAAGACATGCTAGACGATAATTTTCACGATGATGTCATTCAGGAGAAGCCAGACACACTCCCAGAGAGATACGTTGGAAAAGGAGCTTTACAAGAGTATTATAAATAAATATCAGAGGTTCACAAAACATTCAGACCGGGTGAAAGCTTCTCCTAGTAATTTATGGTGTATGAACTGTTATAGCCACCCAGTACTTGTCAAAGATGTATGATTCCAAAATGCCAGCTCCTGCCATACCTCTGATCAAGAGAAAAGGCAGCCAAGATGAACTGAACCTCAAGAATTTAAACTTAGGAAAGCACCATATTTCAGCTCTTAGTAGCTCAGTCCAAGGATTGGAGTTAAAATAATGTGATTTTGTCAGGAATCAAGAATAACGAGCAAGGAGTTTCAGATATGTTTGACAACTTACCCAAAGGAGTCCAGACTCTTGACGTCTCGGACAGTTGAGTAGGCTCAAAGAGCTTAGATAATCTCTTCTTTTGGATGAAGAATGGATATAAGAAAGCAACATTACGCCTGAGATGATTGGATCTCAGTAACAATAAAATTCCAGATGAGTCTGGGGAAGCATTTTTTAAAAAGATTATATGAATCGACACTAAGATTAAGTCGTTAAATTTAAGCAAAAATTGGCTAGGGAGTAAAACTATGTCTCAAATGGCAGAATGGGTAGAAGGTAACCCTACTTTGGAAGTTTTGAACCTTGGATGGAATCGGATTCCTGAATCAGCGGCAGTTTCATTTTTAAAAGCAATCTCTTCCATATCAATCAGAGACCTTAATTTAGCCTATAACAAGATAGGTGTGAGTGGTTCAACTATTGCTGTTGAGGCACTTGCTGAGCTAGCAAATGAAGGGTCACTTAGACATCTAGATATTAGCTATACAAATCTAGATAAAGAGCAATGAAAGCTGTTTGGTGAGAAGATCGAAAACAATCATACACTATTTGGACTTCATATTCAGGGTAACCAATGCTATATTGATTCACATGGGTTTATTAGGCAGGATAATCAAACCCAGATGATGAAGTACTGTGATTCAACTTTAATGTTCCCTCAATCTGTGAATGGACGTTCACCAGTGGTGAATCTTCAATCAAAAGGCCAGTTTGTATATGAGACAAAATGCTGGGTTTGTGAAGGTTGGACAGAGAAAAGATTTGTCATCAAAAGTGGAAGATCTATGATAAATCTCTCAGACCCTGTGTATATTCACTTCAAATTTAATAACTACGAGGCAGAGTTTATGAAAAAGTAAGCTAACTTCTGTCATCTTAAGCTCTTTTCTCATAAGGTTTCTTCTAATTTTCTAATAGAATTCCAAATAAGAGCACCGGTCAAGCAACATATGAGTATATATGAATGGTACCTCCTGGACGGAACAAATATTTCTTCACCTCAAACAAATATCAGTACTTTGCTCGCGATCACCTCATCTGAAGAGAAAGGTTGGTTGTGCCAGAAATACAGGTTTATGACCAGAAGAAATCCTTTGTCATGAATAAGTACAACTATGTTATCTGAGACCAAGAAGCAGTCCTTAATGAAAAGTATGAGTCAACTCTTGAGCATTGCTTCCCCAGACAAGAGAAAGGTTTCTATGTCCCACTGAATCTTGGAGTGGAGAGACCTCCCTGGAAATTTGAAGAATCCCTCTTCGCTTCTTACCAACCTGATACGAGGGATTTGATGGATTGCATTTTTGAGTGTGACTGGAATATGATTTCAAGCAAGAAGTTCAAAGCTCCTGAAGAGGAAGCAGGGATCAAACAAGTTTTCAAAGACAATTATTGGAAAATTAGGGATATTTATAGGTACCAAGCTGCTCTTGGCACTGGTATTGGATCCACTCCTTTTGCAATTTCGTTGAACCAGTTCACTGACTTTATCAAATCTACCGGAATTTTGAGTATCAAAGGAATCACTCAGAGCGACATTGATATGATCTTTATTATTTTAAACAAGAGATATAAAAAGACAGATCTAAACCCAGGAAATGCTATCATCAGATTCCAGTTCCTTGAGGCTTTACTGAAACTGAGTCAGAAGAAGGCAAGCACTGAGAAAAATACTGAAGAGACTATCAGAGATTTTATTGAGAATAGTGTTCTTACAACTCATAAACGATGACTTGCTCAAGAATGGAGAGAGAAGAATTACTGGAACGAGTTTGTGGACAATATCTATAAAGCTCATGAAGACTTACTCAAGGAACTTTATAGTCGGTATTCCGGAGCTAAGTCGCTTCCTGGGCAACCAAAGTTTATGGATAATTCAGAATTTGAACAACTTTTCAATGATTCTGCCTTGCAGAATAATCAGATTTCTAATAGAGAAGTTAACTTATGCTTCTTCTTCTCTATGCAAAGTCAAGTTGATGAAGTTGAGTCCAAGAAGTTTACAGAGATGACCTACATCGAATTTCTAGAAGCATTAGCAAGATTAGCTGATGCAGTTTCTTTGCCTCCACCAACAGAGGATTATAAAATCAAATACAAATTATTAGTAGAGACTAAAAAGACACTGAGAGCTTCTTCATCTATTCGACCATCTGTCTCAGACTCCTCTTCAGAAGAAGAGGAGAAAAATTTCTATGAAATGGACCTAGTAGACCGCTTAGAGCAGCCATTGCATAAGAAAATTGAAAATATTTTGCCTAATCTCCTGCTCAATTGAACCTCGATGAGATTCTTGAAGCAATGGACTTGGCCTGTAAAGCATCCTGAATACGATCTGTATGAAAATAAGAAGTATAAGGTCAACGTGATTAAGAAAATAATGGCTAGAAGAGTTAGCAGGCTGTTCTTCCACAAGCTAGGGATCAAGAAGATAGTAGACAACGCTGTGAAGAAGAACCGAAATTTGTTATCTATCTAGTTGAGTACCTTTTAATTCAATCTCTTTCTATACCTAAGGGGTTTTGGGGTTTTGGGGTTTTGGGGTTTTGGGG